GGCATGGTAGAAGAGCCTGCTGCCAAAGCCCCATATCTGTGGCCCAGATCCAGTGGCTCCATGGGCTGAATTCAGCCACAGGCCATCGGTTGCCAACCCCTCACCTAAAACAATTGCACCTTTTAATATTTTTTTTCTCAAAGTTCAGCAAACTACTAACAACCTCTAGAACTGGTTTAAAGTCCATATAGGTGTGTTTTGGAATATGTTATACTTATGCTATCAGGAATGAATTTGTGACTCAAACTAACAGGGAAAAATGCTGCATCATATCAGTCATATGTGAAATAACAGAACCTTCAGGACCATCACAAAGATTACTGGATTGGAAACATGCTGTTTTGGAGAGAGGTGGGTGGACTTGTGAGATCTGTATATGGACTTTGGGCTTATGCACAGAGAAACATGAAAACTATCATACTACAACAGACTATGTTGTAGTATGTACAAGTATGATAGAAGCCGGACGCGAGGGGATCGCCTTCAGACCTCAGGTTGGGGAGGACCAGGTTAGAGAGCTTCTGGAGGGGCTGGACGCATTCAAGTCAGCGGGTCCGGATGCTCTCCACCCCAGGGTGCTGAGGGAGCTAGCTGGGGTTATTGCAGGGCCCCTGGCACGGCTCTACGAGTGATCGTGGTGCTTGGGCCAGGTGCCAGACGATTGGAAGGTAGCTAATGTGGTCCCCATCTTCAAGAAAGGGAAAAGGGAGGACCCGGGCAGCTATAGGCCCGTCAGTCTTACCTCAATCCTGGGGAAACTCTTTGAGAAGATCATCAAGGAGCACATTTGTGATGGGCCGGCATCAGAAATGATGCTCAGGGGCAATCAGCATGGATTTATTAGGGGGAGATCATGTCAGACCAACCTGATTGCCTTTTATGATCAGGTCACAAAGGCCATGGACGCAGGTGTCGCGGTGGATGTAGTCTTTCTGGACTTCAGCAAGGCCTTTGACACCGTCTCTCACCCCATCCTAATTAATAAACTAGGCGACTGTGGCATAGATGCCTACACAGTCAGATGGATTGCAGATTGGCTGAAGGGTCGCACTCAGAGGGTGGTGGTGGATGGATCATACTCGACTTGGGGGGAGGTGGGTAGTGGAGTCCCCCAGGGCTCGGTCCTGGGGCCTGCGCTGTTCAATTTCTTCATCAGCGATCTTGATGTTGGGGTGGAAAGCAACCTGTTTAAATTCGCTGATGACACCAAAATTTGGGGGGAGGTGAGCACGCTAGCAGGGAGAGAGAGATTGCAGAAGGATCTGGATAGGTTACAGGGGTGGGCAAACAGGAACAGGATGTGTTTCAATACGGACAAGTGCAGGGTGCTGCACTTGGGTAGTAGGAACCAGCAGCACACTTATACGATGGGGAACTCCCTACTTGAGAGCACGGAGGCGGAAAGGGATCTTGGTGTCATTATTGACTCCAAGATGAACATGGGCCGACAATGCGAGGTCATGGTTGGCAGGGCTAACCGGACCTTGTCGTGCATCCACAGGTGCATCTCGAGTAGAGCCAGGGAGGTGATCCTCCCCCTCTATGTGACGCTGGTCAGGCTGCAGCTGGAGTATTGTGTCCAGTTCTGTGCGCCCCATTTCAGGAGGGATGTGGACAACATGGAGAGGGTCCAGAGGAGGGCCACCCGCATGATCCGGGGACAACAGGGCAGACCCTACAGTGAGAGACTGCGGGACCTGAACCTATTCAGCCTCCACAAGAGAAGGCTGAGGGGGGACCTGGTGACCGTCTATAAACTCACTAGGGGGAACCAGAAGGGTTTGGGGGAGACGCTGTTTCCCCTAGCCCCTGCTGGCATAACAAGGAGTAATGGGCACAAGTTGATGGAGAGGAGGTACAGATTGGACATCCGAAAAAACTACTTCACAGTTAGGGCGGCTAGGAGCTGGAACCAACTTCCAAGGGAGGTGGTGCTGGCCCCTACCCTGGGGATCTTTAAGAAGAGGCTGGATACCCACCTGGCTGGACTCATTTGAGTCCCGTTTTTGTTTTTAGGGGGTTTTTTTGTTGTTCTCCCGCCCTGGCGGGGGGTCGGGCTAGAAGATCTATTAGGTCCCTTCCGACCCTAAAACTATGAAACTATGAAACTATGACTAGTTGTCCATTAAGTCTATTGTCCTGTCTCTGATGTGTTCTTCATCAGGTGATCCAGGAAAGGTCTAAAATCTCCATAAGTACCTAATTCTGTAATGAAGGAAGGACATAATTTCTGACTTTACCTGGTCAAAGTATCCCCTGAAGTATGTTAACAATTTTTTTATTTAAAGTGTATATATACCTAATGCTGTTACTAAAGCTTTACTGTTATAGTATCCAAAGCAAGGAATTGTACAGAGTAGTTGTACTTTTTTGTATAATGCATATTATATAGTTATACATTATATAAAGTTATACATTATGTAAAAAATATCCCCACCACCTTTATCCCTTTCCTTTAATTTTAAAGTGCCTTCATTTTTGTTCATTATAGGACATGATAAAGCCAGTTGGTTCACTAAACTGAACCTCTCTCTACATTTGTTTTATGATATATATAAGGGAGCCAGGAATTATTATGCATGGATAGCTTGAAAGAAGATATGCATGTGCCCACTGATGCTGGGGGGTGGTACAAGAAGACAAGGGAATTATATTGTGGCGAAATCTCTACTTAGAGCAGATTTTAAGGATGACTTCTGGGAAGGTCTGAATGCATTTTATCTTTGTCTATACTTACATTTAAAACATGTTCAGCTGCTTCCATTATTGACACTTGATGTCAGCACCAGATAATATTTGCCGTAGTGCCCTCAAAGGCTTTCCTGTTTTATAGTTTAATCATAACATAGAGGGGATAGATTTATTGAGGATTAATCTTCCAATAACTTGGTGGGTGGCATCTTGATACATTCAGTAAATTGGAAACAAGGTAACATACCTCTCTATATCATAATATTGTCAAGTTTATAAACCGTTTTTGAGCTATGAATAATATATTCAAATTTAAATCGGAATATAATGGTGTAGGCAGCCACAGTGACTTTTCTCTATGTCTGTTGGTATGTAAAAAATAGAGAGAACTCCTTTGGAGCCTTTAAGTTCCACCTAGTCTGAAAGGGTCAAAGGAATCTCCTTCCCATGGTATCTTAAGGCTCCAGGGGTAAAAGTTGTCCCTAGACTAGTGGTTTTCAACCTTTTTAGACTTGAGAAAACCCCTTCATAGTTTCAAGGCACTGCTCAATAGACTCGGAAAATGCCAGTTCTTAGTTTTCACTCATGTTTTGACTACAAAGAAATAACAGAGCAAGTCTTCTATTACAAAGAACTCAGAAAGACCACAACAGGTCAGAATGTTTTCAGTGCTATGGATTTCTATTTGAAAACTCTGGGTTTATCTTGTAAATCATGTTTTCACACCTAACAGTACTAACATTAGTTGGCATTCAGGGCTACAGACCCTGGTTGAGAATCATTGGCCTAGAAAAAGGTTCAGGACACACCAGAGCCAAGTGGGAGCTGATTGCGATTTAACTAGTACATAGGCAGTAGTGCACCTCTGCAGAGAGAGAAAGTTGATGCTTTCCTAATACGCTGTACTCCTAGCTATCACCAGTATGGAGAACAAGGTGCCACAGTCATGATTTCCTGTATGGAAGAAAAAAATGTATGCATTTTGTATTCAAATGATCTATAAGCAGTTTGTTTTACACAGTAGATTATGCAGAGCTCATCTATTGATTCATACATGAACTCTAGCTCATTCCTTGAGAGCACCAACATCCTCTGTACTTAACTGAGGTAGGGTACCCATCAAAAATTAGTAAGTGATAATGTAACTAAGGATTGTATCATCATGCATATTCAAGTAAAGTAGCTTCAGTTAAATTTGCATAGCTATCCTTCACTTTAACACTCAAAATTTACAGAATGACAACGTTCAACCTAAACATTCATTTAACATAGTTTGCATGTCATTTCCTTTCTAAAAAAGCAAAAAGGGAAAACAGAAATCTGAAGAAGAATAGAAAAAAGGAGTGAAAGGGACCTCAAGAAGTCATCCAACCCCCTGCTTAAATCAGGATCATCTTTGTCTAAACAACCCGAGACAAATCTTTGTCTAAGCTGCCCTTAAAAACTCAGCGATAGAGATTCTACAACCTCTCTAGGTAATTTGTTCCAGCACTAAATCACTCCTACAGTTGGAAAAGTCTCCTTTATATCCAATCTAAATTTCCCTTGATGCAATTTAAGTCCCTTACTTCATTCCTGACAAGGGAAATAAGCAGAATGCAGCATGGTCCACCTGCACACTCATGTACCACTACCGCTGTTGGCAAGAAGATGGTGTAAGAGTCCACTGTGTAACCTGTGAGAGCTCTCCCACATCAGGGGATCTTAGCCTTGTAAGTCTTGAGTCCTGAGATATTTGTTAGTTATATTAAAACCCCAGCTCCTAGAGAGATGATTTTACACAAGAATCTTAGCTTTCATGCACGTGTTTGCTGTCCTCTTGGTATGTTGCTAATCCCAACCATTCAAATCTCTTCAGTCAGCACCCTTTCTTCCCTACATTTACTACTAAGATTGGCCTATATTTGCATAAAACTAAAAAAAAAAGGGGGGGGGCATTTTTATTTGGCTCCTAGTGTAGTTCTTCTACTTTGTATATACAAACCTTAAATGGAAATTGAGATTGCCTGTAATCACCTGAGCATCTGGGTCTTTAAAAAAAATGGAGACTCTCAATCAAATTGTGAGCTGACAATACTCCTATGGATTGCAGAGAGATGCTTAGAAGCATGACTTCCTATACTCTAAAGAAAAGGGTTAAAACCTAAGAGGAAAATAAAAAAAAAAACAAAAAAACCCCAACCAAACAAAACATCCCAGAACAAAATAAAACCAAAACCTTCTAAATGTATTTTACAGAAGTGTGAGGGTGATGTTGTAGCCATGATGGCCATAAGAACATAAGAACTGCCATTTATTGGGTCCGACCAATGGTCCCTCTAGCCCAGCATCCTGTCACGCACAGGCAGAGAGTAGATGCTGAAAGGGAGAATGAATTAGGTACAACCAGGGGTTTTTTTTGCACAGTTCCTCTCTCACTTGCACCCTCCAGCATTTAAAGGCTAGGAAGTTCTAATTCAGGGGCTATATCCTGAACTACCTTGCACACTAGCTACTTATACACCTTTCTTCCAAAAAATTGTCCCATCCCTTTTTGAATCTGGATAAACTGTCAAGTTCTGCAACATCTGGTACCAGTGTGGTCCACACTTCAATTATATGCTTTGTGAAATGAGGTCTACCCTTTAATTACATACTGTTAGTTTTACATTTACTGCCTTCTAGTTTCGTTTTGTGACCCTTAGTTCGTGTCTTATGAGAGAGAGTAAATAATAAATCCCTATCTACTTTCTCTTTGCCATTTAATATGTTGTAAACCCTCCTTCCCACTCAAGTGTCTCTCTTTCAAAATTGAAGAAGCCTGGCCTCTTTCGTTTCTCCTCATGTGGAAATCCTTTCATACAATTCATAATCCTTGCCCTTCTGTAAGGCAAAAAATTATAGTCCAGAAACGAGGCAAGAGGCAAAGATGTTTTAGGGTGATCTCTTTTTTTATTGGCCCAAATATGTAGTTTATCCTGAAATCTACCCAGTTGGTCCCATAAAAGGTATCACCCTAACAAATCCTTCCCTTTTGCATAAATGTAGTTCTACACACATACACACACATATGTATATGTGTTTATGTGTAAAGTATGTGTTTATATTTGTATGTATATGTGTATTATATAGTATATTAAATATACATAATTTGTAATTATATTATGTGTATGTGTTCTAGATTATATTAAATGTCATTATATTAATATATATAATTATGTTATGTGTATATTTATGTCTATGTGCATATATGGATGTATACATATGTGCATGTGTATATATGTTTGTGCATGTGATTTTATTTTATTAAATATTAATCAGATTATATATAATTACATTATGTATATGTGTGTTATACATGTACGTGTGTATATATTTATGTGTATATATGTGTATGTTTGTGTGATTTGTATATATATTAAATATAAATCATTACTTATGTTAATGATATATAATTACATTTCGTATATGTGTGTATATATGTATGTGTATGTTTGTGTGATTTGTATATATTATATTAAATATAAATCATTAATTAGTTACATTATGTGTACGTGTACATATGCATGTATATATTTGTGTGCATGTACGTGTATATATGATTGTGTGCATGGGTTATTTACGTGTATCATATCAATCATATATACATGATACATATGATTAATATTGAATATAATGCAGATAAATAATACGCACACACATACACGATATATATATTTGTGTGCACGTTAATGACGTGCACCCTATTCAATATAAATTTAATTAACCATGTATATCATGGGTATATATGTTTGTGTGAATGCTATTGATATATGAAATATAAATCACATTAATTATGCTTTGTGTGTACATATGCGTGTATATGTGTGTGTGTGTCCATATGTGCGTGCTATTTATATATCTCATATGAAATATAAACTCTATATATCACCTTTTTATTATAAACTCCACTAATCATATTAAATCATGTTAGTGACAGCCTAATAAAACCCATCCATGACACGTGTTAGCGCCCCTCGAGGCTCACGCTGGACTCCGCGGCTGCTCCGGAGCTCGGCGGCCCGGACGAAGCCCCGCGGAGCCCGGCTCCCGCTGCCCGCCGCGCCGGGGCGGGCCAGGAGGGCGGAGGCAGGTGCCCGGGGAGTTCCGGCACAAGGTAAGGGCCGGGCCTGGCAGGGAGCTCCGCGGAGCACGGAGGAGCGCGGCTTTGCCTCGGCGCTGCCTGGTGCGGGGGAAGGCGCCTCCCGCCCCGCACCTGGCCCTGCCATGAACTGCCCGGCAAGTGAGCTGGGAGCCAGGCACTGACGAGCCCCTAGCATCCTCCTCCCAAAGCAGGGCAGGCGTTTAAACTGCCCTCGGGCTGACCAGAACTTGTAAAGAGAAGACAAAAGAAGACTGGGGATGGGGGAAGCATCCCTTGGGGTGCGTAAGGGGGAAGAGCTGCCCTAAGTGAACAAAAGCTGCTTTGTTATGCGGGGAAAGGAAAGAGAAGCAGTCGTAGCAGCCAGCTCTCAAAAGGGGAAGAGAAAAGCGAGGCCCAAAGTCCATGGCCCGGCCGTTTGCGGGAGAGCGGCATGAAAGGGCAATGTTCAAAAGGGATTCGGATCCGCCTTGACATTTGTGTGGGCAATGGTGCGTGCAGCCATCGGCAGCAGACGCTCTTGAGAAAGCTAGCCGGGCACTTGGGGCGACAGGTCGCTTTGTCCCCGACCCAAGCAAAGCCTCAGCGAAGGGCATTTCTTACTTGGTGTGCAGCCACTTTTGAAAAATAAAGGCTAGCATCTAGTAAGCAAGTTCAGCCTGAAGCCTCTGCTGAAAAAGACTCTTTCTCAAGTTTCCAGTTGAGATTTTTCTTTTTCCTCAACCTTCCTTCAAGATCTTCTCTACTAGGCAACTTGGTGTTTTTTTTACCTGGCTTCTGATGAGAACATAACTGGATGTATCTGTATGTTTTTATTGTTAAGCATAAACGTGTCCTAAAAGCTTTTAGAAGCAATATCTTAAAATGAGGTAGAGGGACCAAGAAGAAACCTTTATGGAGAAACAACTCCAACAACATAAATGAAGACTGGATACATTTTGCAATTGAAATTTACAGCTGACTATGGTTGTCCAATAAAAATTTCCACGTCACTAACTGGCGTGTACTTATCACAGGGTTGGGTTAGGTTAGGTAGAGCCTGAGCTTCTGAGTCAATAACTACCATCTTGGGTCTTTTACCCTATTCTCTTTCATGTTATGTATCATTTATAAATAATCTTGGGCATGAAAGTAAAAGCAATGCATGTGCAAGTAAATAGTACCTTTTATTAGGAATTCAGGATCCAGCCCTTTGCTTAAATCAGCCTACAACACCAACATATTAGTCTGTTCGTTAGTTCAGAATTTTGTATATTTACTCTTTTGAGGTACTGTAATAAAAATATCCAGCCATAGCCTCTGACTTTCTTATCCGTTTTATGCAATTTATATTTGATTTTTGTAATTTTATTATTTTCTCCCTTTCTGCCAGGCAGAAGTTATAACAGTTTACTTGCATTTCCCTCTATGTTCCTAGGAAACCAAAAGGTCCATACAGTATCTTGAAAGCTGGCGTATCTGGGCTGTTGCTTTAATTATATACCATTTCAATTACAAATGTTATATTACGCAGTTCAGATACTGTTCCCATGTTTTTGTTCTATTGAAGAAACAAATGTATGCCAGATGCTAAATTACTCTAGATGGTTGTGTTTTGGGGTTTAATCATTATTATTACTGGAAATTAAAAAGAATTTTGCAATGAAATTAACTGTCTTATTAAACATCCTCAGGCAAATAATTTACTTAGTAGTATTCTACAATTCAGAGTTACACAACCACTATAAAGATGTCCTTAAATGAATATGTGCCATTTCTGTATCAGTTGAGTTTATTTTGAATCTATATAAATAGTGTTTTATTTTCTAATGAAAATATCTACATTTATTTTTCATGTCATTCTCTGTAACTGGTGTAAGGTGATATATCTCTGGAGACGCACAATACTGTGACTCTTGACCCTTTGGGTAAGAGCCCACATATCCTTGTAGTTCTAACTGACTTGGGTTAAGTAACCAGGCTATATATTATTTGTACAAAGTCTCCTTAAAATTTATTTATTTTCCAATCTAGGTATTTTTTCATAGTGTAAAATTGAGGAGATGTTGTAACGGCTTGTTCATCTCTGGTTTGTTTGTATCCTCCTAGGCTTAAAAGTATAGTTAATGAAGTTAAGGAAAGAACAAATCTTGCATTTGTGATGTGTGTTCATACTTACATGTAGCATCCTTTGTCTCCACATCTGTTTATTCATAATGCATTTGGATATTAAACCTATATTGACTGCAGAGAGAGAAACAGGAACTATTAGATTGAACTAAACCAGTGGTCAGGTATTCTGTTTCTGATAATAGCCAGTACCAGAATCTTTTAAGGAAGTGGAAAGAAACTGCAGCTGTAGTATAACTTGTCAAAAACCTGTCCATAACAGCACCTAACACTTTCCAGAGGCTAGCTCACACCCTGAAATAGGAGTAGTTTATATTCTTTTTATATTTTTGTCTCCCATGTAACTCTGGATGTTCTCTGTAGTCAGATAAATGTCTCCTTAATTAAAATCTTCCAAACTTTTGTCTCTAGTGTCTTGTGGTAGAGTAGTGATTCTCAACTAGAGTGTCGTAGCAGCCTGGGGTGCCTTGAGATCCTTTCAAGGGTGCCCCAAGGTACCACTCAATGTTAGTACTATCAGGCATACAAACACGATTCACAAAATAAAACCAGAGTTTTTAAATAGGAATTCATAATGTTAAAAACATTCTGACCTGTTGTGGTCTTTCTTAGCTCTTTGCAGCAGATGACTTGCTCCATTATTTCTCTGTAGTCAAAAAACAAGTGAAAAGTAGAAGTTGGAATTGTCTGAGGGGTGCCTTGAGTCTAAAAAGGTTGAGGGGCAATGTGGTAGAGAATTCCTCAAATTAACTATGCAATGTGAAAATAGTATTTCCTTTTATCAGCTTGAAATCTTCTCTTCAAGTTCATGGAATGTTACCTGGGCCTCAAATTATGAGCACCCCATTCATATTTTGCTGGCCATTATTTTCTACATCTCTATCCTAAATCTCTCTAAATCAAGCTGACAGTTCTAATCTGTCCAGTCTCTCTTCATGTGGAAGTTTTTCCATGCCTCAAATTTCATCATCTGAATACCCTCTCTATTGTTAATACCCTTTTGAGGTAGGGTAACCATAACTGAACACAGCATTGTAGGTGAAATAATGTCTTTGCCTTGAACAATAACATTAACATTTTAATATGGCTCCAACTTGTTCCTTATGTGTCTTAATATTGTTTCTCTGCTGAACTTTTTTATTGCAGTTGGGCTCAGTATTTAACTGAGCTAGTTTTTATGTTGATAAATGCCCTAAACCAGTGGCTCTCAACCTTTTTAGAGTCAAAGACACCCCTCCCTTGACGCGAGGCACGCTTCAATAACTTCTGTGAATTGAGCAGCGGCACCCCATTTCTAGAACCAATTGATTTATTATTGTGCTTGCCTCCTTGCAGAGGGGCTAGGCAGTAGGGGTTGGGGGACAGCCAGGCAGGAAGAGCCTGAGTCTGCCCCTATTAGCTTATCTAATCATACTTGGAGCCTGAGCCTTCCCGTATCTGCTTATCTCCTCACATTTCCTGGGGCACCCTTCAAAGGATCTCAAGTCACCCTGGCTGAGAATCGGTCATAAACCAATGATGTGCGATATTCCTTTGTCTCAATGGTGTCTCCTTTGGCATTTAAAAGCAACCCATGATTTACCATGTGTGCCCACCCTCCACCCCCCCACAGGTAAGTCTGTGGGGAGGGAACGGGGGGGGGGGGAGGGCACAGATCGAGGCAGAGGGAGAAAAAATTATTTGGGGACAAGCCTCCCCAGCAGGTAAGTCTGTGAGGGAAGGAGCTATTGTGGGGGGAGGAGGGGGAGGCAGGGCAGATCTATCCTTACTTTCTCCTTCACCGCTTACAACTTTCTCCTTCACCATTCATCCCTCACCCCAGCTGTGCAGGGCCTGCCCCTGTTCCAGCCCCCTTCCCTCCCTCTCTCACTGCTGCTGCAGCTGCCAGTGCTGCCTAGCATTTGGGGTGACCACGTCCCTCCCCCCCTTATGTGCAGGCTGGGCTTTGCACCCCATGCCCAGCTTCAGCTGACCCAGGAGCAGCCCAACGCCACGTGCATCCAGCCACAGGGATGAGCCTCGTCCCTTGCCCGCCCAGCAGTGGGACTTGCATGGTGTTGGGCTGCTCCCGGGCGGGCTGTAACTGGGCTCGGGGAGCAAAGCCCAGCCCACAACCGCAGCTGCCTCCACCTCACACAGATGGGGGGACACATGGCCCCCAGAGCCTCCACTGGGTGCACACAGTGGCAGGAACCACCCTGCACCCCTGGATGAGTCACCCAGGCTCAATACTCCCACCACCCGCCTGGTTGGCTGGGGCCCCACTCAACTTACCCTTGTGTCTGCCTCTGCAGCACTGTCCCTGACTGTGGGGGTCTTGATCTGGCCCCCACCCCTTCCAGCCCCAATAGACTGACCTGCTGGGCTAGGGGTTGGGCACGCGTGTGCATGCATATGCACTCAGTCACCTGCCCCAGCCTTGGATCAGTTCCAAGAGGCTCTGAGATCTACCAGTCAATCGAGGTCCACTGGTTGGCAACCACTGAGTTAGAGCCATCTGGGTCATGTGGTAAGGTGGGCTTGCTTGGAAAAAGGAAATTTTAATACAGCTAAATATAAGAAAGGTAAAACAAGGAACCAAGAATGTAAATCACATTTCCAAACTTAATCTTTAGTATAATCCTTAATACAGGGTAATATTTTACAAAGCACTGACTCAGAAAAGGAATAAGGGGTTAGAATACATAAACAATTGAATGTGTCTGTGCAGTGTCCAAGATAGTGCATGTGATCTTTGGTTGCATCTGCAAGAGACTGTCTAATAGAACTAGGAGGTGTCAGTGCCAGCATGTACAAGGTGATATATCAAGAAGCATGGCAAATTAGTCTGCCCTGAGCTAAGAGCAGCTGTGGCCAACTGCATAGTAGTAGCAGTCTGTCTAGTTTAAAGCCAGCTAGGCCTCCTTGCACTGTGCTGAAGATGGTTCTCTAACTCCAGTGTAAGCATGCCCATAGTGACATTGTGGCTGGAATACTCTTTCTAAAGTCCCTGCCATACATTACTTATATTATGCAATTAATTGGTTAATCATGCAATTAGTTTAGACCAGACACACATACAAAGTAATTATCATACAATTAACTGTTGAGTCATGCAATAAGTTTAGACTGGCCACACATGCAAAGTAGTTATCACGCCATCAAAATGTCCATCCAGCTATTAAAAGATCCACCCAGCTGCAAAGTTAGTGCTTGAAAATGTGTAGCAAGTTTATAGCTGGTTTCTATCCAATATTAATTTGAACATGTGGTAGGGCGCTAAACACTGCTCATACTTGAAAACAATATTGACATTTTGGGATAAAAAACTGAATCTGAGGTCTAGAAAATCTGCTTTACAGTGAGAGTTTAAAGGAGGTTCGCTGGTTTAGTTTCGCAAGAGAAAATGAGGAGGTAACATGATCAATCTGTAAGTTCTTATACAAGAAAGATATTTTGACAGTAAAAGGTTCTTTAATTTAGCAGATGAAGGCAAGGCATAACAAAATCCATTGCATGAAAATTTGTGCTTCACACTGTCTAAAGACGGACATTGGATTTCTCCTGGGGCAAAGCCTTTTATCCTGGGATCCACTGTCATGCATTAAGTACGTGCAAAGTATCCAAATTAACACTTCGGGCTGAGGCAATAGTGGCTAATTCTAGTTAACTGGTATTCAAGCTGCAATTGTAAAGACCATTTTTCCCTCCTTCCTCCAATATGCACGCACCAATTTTTAATGAGAGTCAAACCTGGAACAATTAGCTCAGGATTAAACGCAAGGTCTGTTTTTAGCTTTTCAGACTACAAGCAAGAAACAGGTGTTTAGCAGTGGGAATAAATAACAACCTATTAATTTGTATGATAGTTTATTCATCATGGGAACTGCTTTCAATCAAGATTGGCTGTCTTTCTGAAAGAGGTGCTATAACTTGGCCAGGTTGATCCTAGCAGCAGAGTTTTGACTTGTCTGACAAACCAAAAAGGATGAGGTTGCAGTAGTTAGGCCATACAATTATTAGGGCCTGGATAAGAGGTTTAGCAGTGTGCACAGAGGGGACAGGATGGATGTTGTGGAAGAAGAAACAGCAAGATTTATACTATGTACACTTCCCACCGCTGAAAATTGTGAGGAACAGTGGGCATGCCATTCCAAGGCCTTAAATAGGCCTATGGCTGCTAGACTCCCAAGCCACACAGCAGATTGAGAAAAAAATGTGCCATTTTTTCAGGGTCACACAGGAGGGAGCAGGTTGAGTTCTGGCTCTTAAGTCTCCTGAAGGATGTGTTGGTGTGTTTTGAATACCTTTCAGAAGAGGGCTTACATTATAATATGACAGTTGCTGACTGTAAGTTCCTACACAAGGGGAATATTTGACAATCAAAGGTTCTTTAACGTAGCAGATGAAGGCATGACAAAATCCAGTGTGTGAAAGCTGGTGTTAGATGCTTTCAGGCTACAAACAGAGTATATTTGTTTCCTAACACCTGACCTGCAAGTAGCAGTTGGGTCCTCTGGGCCAGGACAGATATTGTATAACACTAGTAAAACCAGTCTGGTTGTATGAGTGTAGTGCAATGGTAAATTTGGCACCATCTGTATTACCTTGAGTTTCCATCATGTATAATTAAGCTGAATCAAAAAGTTTATGAGTACAAGCATATGGTTTTATTTTTATGCACGCTTTGTCTCTGAAATTCATAGTTGCAGAGTGCTTATTAGTATAGTTTAATCAAGCAATATTACCCGGTGCATAATTAAAACTTAGAAATTATATGCTATAAAAGAAAAAAATACTATAAAAGTATCTTCTTGGAGGGAGTCATTGGAAAGTACACACACAAGGAGAGCAAGAAGTAGCATACAATATGGTGTGAAACATTTAATAAATTTAGGATGTGACATCAGTGTTGTGAACCTAAAATAAAAATTGTTTAAATATACAAATTTGTCATTGGACTTTGTTACAGTAATTTTAGCCTGTAGATTAGACATAAATTGTTTGCCTAAACATTAAGTTTATCTAAAAGCAAAACTGGTGAGATGTTTTAAAAGTCTATAGGTTTTATGGGTCTTGAAGATACACCATGAGCCAGAGTCTATCTAAACTCTGTACTTTTAAATTTTATTTTAGTGCAGCTAGCAAAATGAAAGCCTTGTAATCTGATGCTAGTTTAAGTGAATGCCCTATTGCAGAAGGAGGAAAGAATGAATAGCAAGCATCAAGCTCTGTCAGAATACTAAAGCTAGGAGGAAGAATCTAGTCCAGCATGGGAGTTCACGTTAACTGTGTAAGAGACGCTGAAATCAGTAGTCTAAAGCCACTAATCAAAAAGTATAATTGTCTTGTGATGTTTTTGGTTGGGAAAGCATGTGCTATATTAATGAATGGCCGAAAAGGTTTCTGAAAATATTTATTCAGCAGTACAGTCATTATCAGGTAAGAGAAGAATGTGATGTTATAGTATATTTTTGGAAAATTCATATTAAAAAATCTGTGATAGCAGGAATTTGACTTGGTGGTCAGTATTGTAGCATTAATAAGTTTCAAATGCAAAGATCCTATTTAGGTATGAAAAGAGTTTTTCCCATGGAATACTGTCCTTTGCTCAGGAATTTGGGACTATGCTCTGACTGTTTGGTAACAGACTTAAAATGATACAATTGTATTTTCAGGTTGACTTCCTCATTGACAATGAAGCAGAGAAGGATTATCTTTACGATGTGCTGCGGATGTACCACCAGTAAGTTCTAACTTCCTACTTTTCAAAGCTGCCGTAGCACCACTGCATTGTTTATTTGAAGATGAAACAGTCAAAAATGTAATTAAACAGTAAATCTAAGGATAGTCGATAGAAAATTAGCTGAAGTACTAGTTCTTAGTTTTATTTAACAAAGCCCTTTGGGTTTATGATTTAACACACAAATAAATGGATGTTTAAGTTTGAGCATAGCATTAGGATTAGTTTGTCTTTGGAGACTTACAAAGTATAAAATTAATGAAAACTTCATGGATCTATAAAGTGAAAAAAATCATGTACATAATAGACCCTACATTAGAAAAAAAACTGTAGTATGCTTGGAGATAGTAATGATTTTACTGGCATTGTTTAACTAGTCAGCTTGCTTGTTATGTTTGATTCCTCATTCTTACAGATTTCTCCACTTTAGGAAAGGTACTGTATTTACTCAAATCTACGATGTTCCCCTCCCCCCCCCCCAACAACAAGGAGGGGGCAGTGAAGGGAAGAGCCTTGTCTTAGATTTGAGTACTGGCCTGGGGCAAGCCACTGCTCAGGTCCCAGCACTGGGCGTGGAGATGAAGCCAGAGCAGAGCTGCCACCTGCCTTGGACCCAGATGGCTTGTGTGGATGGGGTGCACAGCAGGATGTCCAGGGGGTGGGGGATGTATGGGAGACCCACAGTGTGAAGCTTGGTGCGGAGTGTAGGG